CAGATGAGAAGAGGCAGGAGAACAGGAAGAAAACAGCTTTGGAGAGCAGTGGGCAGACTGGATGTGCTGCTGGGAAACACCAGAGCATCACTGGTGGGAGCCAGTGGGTGCTCCTGCTTTCCTGTGCTGAGGCTTGTGGGGTGGAGCAGGCTGTGTCCTCAGGTCCTGCACAAGCACAAAACACACTGTAAAAAACACAAGTCCTGTTTTGTTTATGGATGCAGCCCATTGGTAGCAGGAGTTCTGATTGCTTTTCTTGTTTGTTGTTTGTTTTTTAATGATCTTTCAGTTTTGGGGGTTTCACATTGTCTTCCTTGTAGGGTAAATATGTAGGATAAAAGTGAGCTTTATGGGTTTGTGCTGCCCTGATTTGCACAGCTCTATTTTGTGTCTGTGCTAGCAGGCAGGGCTCTGCTGGACAAGCACAGATTTCCTTGGGGATGAGGGCTTCTAGGTGTGCAGGAAGAAGGAGTGGGGGAAAATATAAAAACTTGTGATCTCTTAGAAGCTCAGCAGATGAGATGGTTTAAAGCAATGGCAGTAAAATTTCTGAGTGCTGGCAGGGATTTGCATGGTGTGTGCAATGGGTTCCTCGAAGATGTGTGATTGCATCCAAAGGGTGAGGCAGACTTCAGTGGGAACTGCTGGAGGGAGGGAATTGCAGCATGGCTGGAAAGTCACACAGCAGCATTAAAGTTCCCATTGTCTGTCCCAGGCTGTCCAGAGCCAGCAGTGTTTGGTGGTGGGGCAGTGAGGGGTTTAGAATTAGGAGCTGTCCTGAATTGTCCTTCCTGGCCTCATGTGTCCTCCTTCTGCAGGTGTGGACCATGCTGGGGAGGCTCTCTGAGCTGTCCTGGTGGCTGCAGGCTCAGAGCTGCTCTGTGCTGCCTGGCACCAAGCCACAGCACAGTCACAGGTGTCACAGCAAACACCTCTGTGTGCTCCCTGTGCCCTCTCTCTGGTACATCCTCTTCTGCAGATTTTGGGTTTTACTTAACATAAATCCTGTAGGATTTTACTTCTGGCTGTCCTTTTGACAGTAATGGACCATTAACTAACTGGAGATAAAACTGAAAGCATAAATCCCTTTCCTTCAGGGAATTAGAAAGCAGGTTGAGGATGCAGGCTGTGAAAGGCAAGAGTTCACTGTAAGCTCAGACCAGACCTGATTAAGTGTCCCTGCCAGGCATCCCCACCTGTGCCAGGTGAGGAACAAGACAGCAGAAGTTGAGGTTTGTGCTGCAGGACTGTTGGCATCTGCCAAGGGAAAGCCTTTAGTCCTGATATTTGAGCTTGTTTGCCAAGGTCTGCCTGTAAGAGAGTGAGGGGAGTCTGGGCTGCTGAGGACTTATCTCCAGAGACTGATGCTGTCTCCGACTGGAAGTTGGGTGTTTTTATCTTTTTTGAGACAGGGTGAGATGAGGAGAGCCAGAGCTTTGCTCATGTCAGAGTGAGGGAGGAAAAAGCACAAGGGGAGTGCCCAGACTGCTCCCAGCCAGGCCGTGGGGTGATGAGAGGAGATGATGAAGCAGCTCTGCAGGTTGCTGTGTACCTTTGTCCAGTTCCCAGTCCTTTCCCTGGGGTCTCCAGTGATGCAGCAGGACTCTGCTATGTGGGAGTGAATTTGCTGATGACTCCCTTCACTAGACCTTGAGGTCAGCCCCTACTGATTAAAAAAGTTAATTACCGTCCTCTTGCAAGAATGACTCTGTTTTCAAGGTCTCCCAGGCCATTAATCAAGCATCTTCTTTGGAAAGCAGTTTTAATTAAAAGTAAGTCATCATTAGAGCCAGGTGGCCAAGTCAGAGGGGGATGTCTTCAGAGACCTCACAGGGCTCTGCTGTGGTGAAGGGAGTGGTTCGTGTTTATGCAGCCCCCAGCCTTCCCCCCGCTCCTGGTGTGAGTATTCTATTTTAATTGTCAAGCTGAATATTTAAACACTGGTTAAAATCTGCAATTTATAGGCAAATCTTCAGAAGAGTTCAGTCATCTCTTGGTGCTGAGGGTGTCTCTGCAGCAGCCCCCACTGCTGTGCTTTTGGGTCAGACTCAAAGGGTTGAGTGAAAGACTTAAAACGGCCAAGTAAATGGTCAAAATTAGATATTTTGTCTTTGCTTCAGTATCTTTTCAAGTTCATTGACTGCTTTTATTACCACGTCTCTCAAGTGCCCCTGGTGGTGTCCAGGAGGTGGCAGTGGAAGAGCATCCATGGCTCCACAAGCACAGGGAGCTCACGGCTCACCAAGGGCATCATCAGGGACTGCTGTACATCACAGCACAGCAAACAGCTGTTTTAAGAGGTACCCCTTATCTGTGATGCCCCATGTGCCAGAATCTGTGGCTCCATAGTAAATGTGTAAGGAAACTTGTTCACTTGAAAGCCAGGAGGAGAAAAGCTGAGTGTGTAATTGCAAAGAATTGATTTTCAAGACAGTTTCAATAATTTTAATTACTCAAATGAGTTAAACATCTGTGTACCAAATCCACTGCAACTGACTAAAAACCATACAGGATTCTCAGAGTGAAGCAAACTAAACAGAATAGTGCCAACATCATGTTTTAAGTTCATATTTGTTGACGAGCCTCTAGTCCCCTTTTTAACTGCCCTCATGCTGGGATAACTGCCTCCATGGAAATGCACAAGGAGGCATTAGAGAACTGGAAAGTTTCACACTGCCTGAGCCTGATGCATTTCATCCCAAAACACTGCAGAAAAATATGAATTAATGTCAGAACCGCTTGGGGTTATCTTAGAGAAGTCATGGGGTGTAAATAAGCATCAGAAGACGAGAAAGGAACAAATATATTCAGTTTCTAAGAATGGAAGGAACAGATAATCTAGGATTTTTCTAACATTCAGCTTACCTTCAGCTACCAAAAAAAAAATCCTGGAAAGCACAAAGTATTTGTGAGCAATAAAAGAAAACAAGGCAATAACTCAAAAGGATTTTTCAACTGCAAATCCTCTCACAACAAACCCAGTTCTCTTTATGAATGGACCTTGGGCCTGGACAGAGGGGAAACAATAAACAGCATCTAAAGTCACAAAATGAGCTTTGATACCTTCTCATTCAAAAGGGAGAAAAGTAATTAGTACAGATTTGTCTCCTTGCTGAGGCAGATCCCAGGTTTGCAAACAGGGGACACATGACACGGTCTGAAGCTTATGTGGTCCTCATGTGCCTGTTTCAGATGGCCAGGACAAAAGGAAATAGATAAGGTAATATCAATAGGAGCAAGTGACCCACTTGGAACGAAAAAGGGGATAATAAGTCCATGGGAATGGAATCTGAAACTTTTTTAGAAAGAACATAACAACTGCGGACATCATTTTAGGACTCTGAGATAAATGGGAGGTCTAGATTAAGTGGAATGTCAAGTTCCTCATGCACCCACAATTTTTTTTTAATCAACTTCCATTAATTCTTTTCTGTATTTATTTACCCAAGAGATTAGGAAAGACTTTTTTACTCTGTTGTAATAGGCTGCTTTATTAGCATCACATCCTTACTTTAATCACTGTCTTGCATATGTGGGCTCTACCTGGCTTCAGGTAATTGCATCTCCTGATGACACAGCCTTGGGAAACTTGTTGTTTAATGAGCTGAGCCCTCTCTAAAGCATTCCCATCCACCCCAGCCTGCAGCAACACTGTCAGTTTTGGACAGAGGGGTCCTGTGTGTGTTTGAAGGCTCTGCCTGCTGGGCTGGGGCAACTGATGGTGGCGGAAGGACACCGTGTTCATCAGAGGCTGAGCTCTGCTGGGAAATGGGATGTAAGGGTTGCTGGGGGTAGGGAAAACGGGTTTTGTTTCTCTAATGAAGAAAGAATTAGTGAGAAAACAGCTGACAAACAGGTTCCAGGGAAACAAGGAATAATTTACAAGAATACTTTGGTCAATAAAGACCCAGCCACTTTATCAAACGTTTTAATGCTGAAGGGAAACAGATATTAATTTCTTGTGAAGAGGTGGTGCTTGATAAACCTACTAGCTCCAATTCAGAGTTTAATTTTAGCTCTGTGTTAGATGATAATTACATGTATTTGTGCTCGCCTTCATGGTTTGTGCCACAAGGACTCCAATCTCCCTGAGCTGTTAGGAGGAAATATCTCAGATCTGGGATTCTTCTTCTTAAACTGTACAAAATGTGTGGAGGGAGGAACTGCTGCATCCTGAGGGCTTCTGATCTAGAGGGGGAAACACAACAAAGTTTTTTTTCATTCCCAAAAGGGAACTTGGGAATATTGTATAACAGGAAACAGGTTGGAACTTCCCTTGTATTCTATTTTCCTTCTGCTAAAGTCGTTCAGAGTAATCTGTAGGGCTTTTTATTTTTGCAACTGTTTTTAAATAGGTAAATTGTGAAACTCTGTGTAGCTCCACATTACCTTTTATCCACTTCATTGAGTCTCAATATTTGAATGTAAATAGCTTCAGATTTAGAAAGCTGTACTGACACTCTTTATTTAGTTTTCATTTACAACTGTTAAAAATTTTAAAACCATTCTTGTGTCAATCCAACCTTCTCCAAACCCACCTTCCACCCCTGTTTGTAAATAACTCATGTGAGAGCTGGAAGAGAAAGTGCTTGCCTAATTATCCCTATTTTCAACACTGTAAATTAAGCTGTTCATGTGAATAGTTCCTTCATTTAGCAATAAGCAAAGAATGTTAAGAACTGTGAAATAATACAAATTTTGTCAGACACTGTACACAAGGTATTGGTGGGGTAAGAACTTTTTGGAACAGTGCTTTCCACAGTGCCTTGAAAGCAAAGAAATCCATGTTTTTGTCACTACAGCAAAACACAGGTCTTCAAAATCTTCCCGTCACTTTGTCTGTGTTGTTGTCAGAACTTTGTCAGGTGATGATTTGCATTTCCTCTGTCCTCAGTCGGTGACAATTTTCCAAGAGGAGGTAGTATCAAAGCAATCTAGAATTAACTGAGACAAGTGACAATTGCATGGGTGGCACAAAAGTCTTTTACAAATAGACATTATTTTATGCAACAGACATTAATACATGTTTTAATGAAGAAGTGATTCACAATTATAATATTATTGACTTGTTAAGATTAAACAGGTCTGCCATATGCTGTTGAGTGCTTCAGATGGTTTCAAATTTATTTTTATTTTTTTTAATCTATGCATATTAACAACAGATGTTGAATTTTAAAATGATCCAACAGTCGAGGGGAAATCATTCCAAAGCTGAGTAATAATTTTGTCATGTTAATGATTTGAAATACTTTGTATGTATTATATATTTGTTATTTAGCTGATAGCTAGCTCTTGCACATGATATTTTTTGTTATCTTACTTCCTCCAGAGTTTTCTCCCATTGCTGAGGAGTGGGTTGGTTGAACACTTACCTTGGAACTCCATCACTAACCTTTCAATTCTTTTTATTTAAAAAACCCTTTCACAAGTGCATCTGCCCTCAACTCCTCTGCCTCTGGACCATACAGAAATGGGATGTGGACCTCACCCTAATGTTCCTGCTTTTTCCTGGCTTGCCCCTGTTGCACTGAGGGGGTGAGGGAAGGGCAGAAAGATACCACAAAGCAAATACACCGAGCTGACACGCCACAGGTGAGGGACCACGCTCCCAGAAGGCTTGAGTGCCTCCTACACTGGCACAGGAACAGCCTCTGGGTGGTTACAGATTTACCCTTTGGCTGGTTATTGTTAGCTTGAAGATCAGAAATTGTGTTTTTTGCTTTCTTTCTTGCCCTGTCTCCAGGAGCCCAAGATGGGGCTGGTTCCCAGCACAGGCTGTTGCTTCTCCTTCCCACTCCCAAGCACTGCAGGTCACAAACTCGAGCTGGGGTGGTGGCAGCCTGGGACAGTGCACCATGTCACCATTTTTCAGCTGTCTTGTGGGTGTGATGGAGTAAACAAACACATCTCCCTGTGGCTGAGAAGCTCGAGAAAGAGAGAAAACACCTCGAGCCTCCCCAGAGCAGAGCTGCCCCAGGCTGAGCAGTCACCCTTCTGGTGATGCTGCTGGGAGAAGCTGAGCTGCACTGGGTGATCCCCAGCCCACACCAGCACCAGCCTCTGACAAAGCACTGCAAAAAAGCCACTCCTGTTCTGTGAGCCACCAGCTGCCTTTCCAGCATCTTATCTGGAGACCCAGAGCTGTGCTGAGCAGGAGAGGCAGAGCTCCTCTCCATGCTGAAAGCTTCAAGCTTCTCCTTGCAGTCCTCTTGCTCCAGTGCCTCATGGAAATGTAGGAATTGTAGGAAATGTAGGTATAGATTTTTGCTGTTATCTTCTTCTGGATATTCCCTGCAGAAATTAAAAAAAATATAAGTAAATAAACCCAAACCAAAACAACAACAAAAACCCAACAAACAACCCAACAAAACAAACCAAACAAAAACCACAGGGAAATTACAATGTGATTATTAACATAAACAAAATGCAAAGGATGGAGAGCCCAGTCAGCTTCAAAAAGTGATCCCAAATTGATTTCCAATGGACTGGAGACACGAACTGGGGAGCTCTTGAGTGTGTGCTTTATTATTTACATAGATCACCAGCTTCAGTGACTTAATTTGACAAAGAAAGTTGTAGAAAGGGAAAGTCAATCCCATTTGCTTCTTGGTGAAGAGAGTAAATGTATAGATCCTAAAGGGACATAACTCCCAATGAGATACATTTGAGCTTCATGCCCTTTACCTCTCACTTTCTGCCCTGTAGGGAGGCAGCCTGAGTATCAAGTAGTCAGTCCTGAATCATTTAGGTGGGAAAACACCTCTAAGATCATCAAGTCCAGATGTCAACCCAGCACTGCCAAGCCCACCACTAAACCATGTCCCCACGTGCCTCATCTACACATCTTTTAAATCCCTCCAAGGATGGTGGGTCTGCCACTGCCCTGGGAAGCCTGTTTGAATGCCTGACCAGCCATCTGGTGAAGAAATTTTTCCTTATATCCGATCCCTGTGTAATCCTGTGGGGCTTCCTAAAAAGAGAGAGCACTTAGATGACTTTTTCTTCCCCAGGGAGCAATGAGGAAATGCCAATATTCCTGATTTCAGGTGGGAACAACCTTGAGGCTCCTGATTCGACTGAGTAGCTGATCAATGGCTTCAAAAGTCTGGGGGAGAGTTAGGAGACCAGGGAGCAGAGAGACAAATAATAGAAAATTTTATTGAAATCAGCCTGGGGAAGCCAGTCCCATCTGGTTATGTCACTACACAGTAAGATTAGACTTCAAACCTGCTCTTGAGATGGGGATTGTGGAAGTGATTTCCAAAGGAAAAATCCCATTAGTATAGGATGGATACCTCAGATGCATCTGCAGCTCCTCTCTGGGACTTTCAGGGAATCATCTTGTTGCTGTGGAGGGAAATTAGGTGCAAAGGATCAGAGTTAGTGATGGTTGTGACCCAAAATGAGGTCACTGAGAATGGGGAGAGTATTTACTTGAGGTAAACACAAAAGCCAGAGTTTCAAGTGTCAGGCCAGGCCAGCTGCAGATCCACACAGCAAATGGTTCTGTTCAGAGCCTGTATGTCTTGCAGAAAGATGAGAAAAGAGGATTCTTCAGAAAGCCCTTTTCCCTTTAGAAAGCTCTCCCTCTCTGTATGCCTTCCAAGAGGGACAAATGTTTGCTTTGAGCCTTGAGCAAGCTTTTCTCCAGGGTAAGGAGGAAGAATGTGATTATTTTTTCCTGAGAAAATAAAAAGACAGTGAGCAGTGAGGAGGAAGGACTGGAGGTAAAAGTTTGTACTACATTGCTTCATGCAGAAATGGCCAAGATGGCAGTGGCTTTACCACCAGCAGGTTGTTTTTGTATTCTTTTCATCAGGTGGGGAGATTGATGCATTGTAAAGTTCCTCTTTCACATTGTTTTTATCCCCAGATGCAGGTGTACCATTTTCAGCTTCCATCACCTTAGACAACTAATTATTGACAAGAAATCAACAAAATTTTCTCAATTAAAACTGCACAGAGCACCTGTTGTTCAGCAGGTATGAAGAACATCAGCTTTCCCCAGCCCATCTATCAGCTGTGAAAGACTCCCCTGCTCCTGTAAGTGATGCCCTTATGGCAGGAGCTGCTTTTGCCCCCCAAATAAACTGACCTTCCCCAAATGTAGTACAAATATAACTCTGAGTTTTCTTCAACCAAGAACAAGGAAAATTTATTTAAAGCAATGCACTGCACAGACAAGTTAGTTTTTGGTGACTGTTTTGAGTAGATATCCCTGAGATGGGGGAAAGACCAAATCTACCTGACCCTAACTGAGGTTTTGTTGTTTTACTTTGGCTGCCTGATCTCAATTTTAGTGAGCTTTGATCACTTTCTAATCTAATTCCTGGCTTACTTTTCTATGTGTTTCATGAGTACATTGCCTTTTAATGCCAGCCCCACTCTTGACCACAGGGAATAGTTTATGTTTGATCAAGCACTTGTGTAGTTTATAGGTTTATCAAGTTTTGAACTGAGCTACTCTACAAAATAAAAGCATGCCATGATTTCTTAAACTGCAATTAAAACATATACCACCAAAAATGCCTCAGTGATGAGCCTTGGTCCTTCCCAGAACTGCAGCAGTCCCCTGGAGAGGGGTGGAGATTAGCAAACACGTTTCACATGACAGCTTTCAATATGTTTATTTGCATAACTGGATTACAGAAGTGCATCAACGTGCCTTAAAATATTATTATTGTTTATTAGTCTGGATATCGGACAAAACAATAATTAAATAGGGCAGAGATTCTTGGGGCTCAGTTAACAGAACTGAGGCTCAATGAATGTGGCTGTGCTTTGTTCTCTGCCCTGTGGAACCCCCAGACCTCAAGCTCAGGACTGGACTTCCTTTGTGCAGGGAAAGCCTGGAAAAATGGCATTACAGGACCGCTGAGGTAGACCAAGGGGGCTGTGGAGGAGAGAGAAGGAGCTTCAGGAGCTCACAGCTGGGGGATGCAGATCATTTCAGGGTGCATCTGAAAACCTGCTTGTGAAGAGGGCCTTAAACAAGGGCAGGCGCTGAGCTTTCTGCTGCAAATTCACATCCTGACAGAATTAAGACACGTACAGGTTAAACCAGCACTTAGATGAGGGTGCCAGCTGTGCTGGGCATCTCCAGGAGCTGCCAGACCTTGGCACTGCTCTAAGAGCAGCTCCAGAGGCAGCCTGAAGTGAGATATTCCCAATGCATTTGTCACTGTGGGAACAATCCGTGCACTGAACAGCCCTTCATTTCTGTCTCAAGGAAAAGCAAATTGAGAGAGAAATCCTTGTTTGCTTCATGCAGCTCTTGGCAGTCACCATCTCCAGTCATTATCGTTCAAGAGAACATGAATAAGTCGAACTGCAGTGATGGTAAATGAGGGAAAAATATGTGTAAGGAGGAAAAGATCCCAGGACTGCCGTGGTTTAGAAAGTCTGGAAAGACTCCACTGGGCTTTGGATCCCTCTGGGTGACAGCACTTTCTGTATTTAGTGCAGGAGGTTGTAGACATTATGAACCATCTCAATCTTAATTAACCTTTACAAACTGAAAAATTAGCAGTTTGAATTTACTTAATTCTATAGAAGAAAAATCTCTAAAACTCAGGATTTTTTGTTATGGAAACTGCTTTTTGTGTTGTTGTTTCGGTGCTCTCTTGGTGTCCTGCTCTATGTACTCTTTAAAAGATTCCTGAAAATGAGATTGAAAAGCTTTTAAAATTAGGTTGGTCTGTTTGGAAGTGGGCTTTTTGTCTTTTCAAAGTGACCAGTTATTCCAGTAACTTACAATATTTAGCTTCAAGGAAAAAAAACATTTCCTGAAATTCAGCAAAAGCAAAACATTTTTTAGAAGGTCACTCAAACTTTTAAACTGAGGTAAGAAAGGCAGGGACACATAATCACAGAGTGAATGCAAGTAACGCCCAATTTAAATGGATCTTCTTCATTCAGTGCCTCTGTAATCAGCTTTTAATGCCCTCATTACCAGCAGTAGAATAACTTGAAATTGCAGCAAGTTTGTGAAATGGGATTTCAAATGTTTTCCAACACTTTTCCCAGGGTGGGCATATGGATCTGGGGGATGTTTTTATCAGAATAATTTTACTGAAACACGATAAGCAAAATTATTTTCACAGATTCACAGTAGGATTTACAATCTAAAGCAACCACCTCTTTCTTCCCACTCCCCTCATGCTCTTTTGCATTGCCCCCAACAGAGAAGTCTCTGGCCATGTGCAGGTACAGAGAGATGTCCTTGCTGACCATGGCCAGAGCTGCCCTGGACTGTGCTGCTTTTTTGGCTGATGGCAGTTCAGTGCCAGAAAGTTTCTCATGCTATCCCAGATTGCAGCTGAGCAGGTCGGAGGAAACCTCACAACTTTGTCCTGTTCACTTAACTGTTATTCCAGATATTTTCAGGGAGGAAGAAACTAGAAACCATTAGGTTGATTATAGCTTTTAAGTCCCTTTGAAAGGTGAATTTCAAAGGAAATTGTTTATTCCCAAAAGACTCCTCCAAAGGAGAGCGCCTGCTGGAATTATCTCACCACTGTTGAGGACAATGCAGTTGACTTGCAGTAGGGTCAGGGAACTGGGGCTGCATGAGGAAATGGCCCTGACCCAAAAAGGACTACAGGAATGTTGTAATTCCTCTACCCTAGAGGCTGTGCTAAGGAATAGACTCTGGATAGACACACAGATTTCATTTTTACACAATCCAAAACACTCCCTCTTTGAGATATTTATGTCTTATTCATCCTTGCTTCTCTCTGTCCCCCAAAAGCCATGTCTGTACTGACAGTAATATCCAACACAGATAGAAAGAATCCCTGTATCTTATTGTGCTTATATCTCCTTGGCTTCTAATTCCAATCAAAGCAATAAAGATATTTTTGAGGCATGACATCTGCCTGTCATTCTCCTTTAGAAGTGGAAGTGCTGGGGAAGATGCACATGGGACCTCTGTTGTTATAATTGAGCCCTAAAGGCAAATTTCAGGAATGAGGACTAAGTAAAAGTGGAAAAGACTTACAATGATCATGTACAAAGGAGGGGCACTCCCACCAGCTCTCTTTTACAGCACCACACTGGCCATAATGCAGTTTGTAGCAGGTCCAATTTTCTTCTTCCTCCAGGCAAACATTTTTTTCAGCTCTCCCCTGAAGCTGTCATGGAGCCAGGCATAGAGGAAGGCATTGGTACAAGCAGACATCATTGCAAACCAGTGGCACAGCAGCTGGATGAAGTTGAAGTACTGCTTGTCAATCAAGCTGATGTCGATGTCCTTTATCATGTTGAAGATGTGCAGGGGCAGCCAACAGACTCCAAAGGCTGCCACCACTAAGACCAGCAAGCGAAAAGTCTTTCTCCTCCTGGCACGGTCCCACTCAGCCTGGCCCTGGGTGACATTGCCTGGGACCACACGGTTCTTCAGCTTGACTGAGATCCTCAGGTAGGACAGAGAGATGACAGCCAAAGGCAACACATAGGTGATGATGAGGGTGCTGTAGGCGTAAGCCAAGCGATCTCTTTTCATGTGGAACCAAAACTCCTCACAGATGGAGAAGTCCAGCTCCGGGAACTCTGCGTGGTAGGTGTGCACCAAGGCTGGGGCAGCCAAAGTGCAGCTCAGCAGCCAAATAGCAGCCAGGATGTAAGCACAGATGGGGATGGTGAGCCTCCTGCGGAACGGGTACACCGTGGCACAGTACCTGTCCACGGCTATGACAGTCAGGGTGAAGACAGACACAAACACCGTGACGGGTTGCATCAGGAAAACAAAGTAGCACATGAAGCGCCCGTAAACCCATCCCCGGGGCTCAAAGGCATAGGCCAGGGTCAGGGGCACACAGGTTGCACACATAAGCATGTCTGAGAAAGCCAGATTGCCTACCAGAAAGTTGGTGACGTTGTGCATTTTTTTTGTCTTGCAGATGACATAGATGAGAAGGTAATTCCCAATGACACCAATAAAAACCACCAGCGAGTAGCAGGGGATGATGAGTGGCTTGAAGGACTGAACAAACTGGAGCCCTGAGAATAAATTGCTGGTGTTGCTGTGAATCGCAGAGAGGAAGCTTTGGGAGGTTAAATTGTCCGAATTCATCATTTTCCTCCTTTTGTTGTCTGCCGTCAGCTGAGTGAAGTAGTTAGCACTGCGCTGCTCCCGCACTCAATCAGTGGGGATAATGAATGGATTTCTGGCTGTCCACAGGTTACCACATGGATAGTAAACAAGCAGCTGTAAATGCAAAAGGTGAGTTTGTAACCCTCGAGAGGCAGTTTTCAGCAAGTCCTAAGAAAAATCAAATACAACCAATTTCCATTAAAGTCCTCCTGTATTTGCTATTAAATCTAGCTTTTGACAGCATGCCACTTAATAAACATTTAATGCAGTGAGTACTTACTGCTGGGGGGTTTTAATCCCATATGATTTTCCTGTGGATGCCAAGAAGTGTCCTAGATGTCTGTCTTCTGCAAATCCAGGAGCCTGTGTGTGTGTGTGTGTGTGTGTGTGTGTGTGTGTGTCAGAGAGAGAGAGGCAGAGAGAATATATGAGTGAGAAAGAGGGCGATGTGCATTTACAAGCTAAGTGGAGATCACTGTTTTTAAACAGTCTGCACTACTAGGTCATGACAGATTTATGTATAAGCTTTTATTCCCATTGGCTGCCCTGGCTATTACGTTGCTCTTTGTGTGTTTTTTACTGATAGTAATTAGTTCTAGAATATCCTTTCAAAAATTCCACTCTCCTTCCAGTGCATCTATAATTGCCCCGCACATCTAAAAATCAATTTACTTTCATTAACATGAACCTGCACAGTATCTAATCCTAGATTAGCTTTTCCAGAGCCTCCAGAGTGTCCAAAAATACTACCTGTAATTTCGTTGCTATAATGTGACTGTAAAATAGAATTTTAATCACATGCTGAAGGCAAATAAATGTTTATGCCACTAGAGGGTCTCAGCTATATACCTGTGATTGAAGTTAAGATTAGAAATGTGCATTTCTATTGTAGCACAAAGCATCTTATTTTACTTAAATTTATTTTCCACCGGTGCTACAATGTTTACTCAGCCACTATGGCTATTTTCAGTAGGATTTACACATCTTTAAAAGTAAACAAATGTGTGTGAGCGCCTCAAAGGAAATATTAGCATCCAAATAGGTTAGATGTAAGGGTTTACCTGCTGAGAACTACAGCAAACTTCTACTAGTATTTCAGCTACCCAAAAACATTTGGGGTGTTTCTTCATTCCTGCATTCAATTTGTTAACCTTTTCTATACCAGACAAGTGCAAACCAGTCTGTAAAACAATCTATAGCTGTTTTGCTTGGTTCAGATGTTAGAAAGCAGAAAATTCAGGATATGTGCTTACAGAACACTTAATTAGACATCCCCCTCCTGTTCTTGTCTATTGCACTAATTCTCCCTTAACTCTTCTCCATTTCAACCCGGGACCAGGACCTCATCTGGTGAAAAACAGTGAAAATCTACTGCATCCATTTGTAATGTCTAGAGAAAATAAAAAAATCTAATGACCAACCTAACTTCTGAATGCTTCATAGCAGAGAATATTTTTACATCCTGTAAGGCACTCAGGGGATTTAGACACAATTTTAAATGACAATTTGTGTCCTAGTCAGTTAGACTAAGGACTATTATTCCGTTATTTTCTAGGAGGCCATGGGGAGAACCATATCCTTTTGATTTTATGCCATTTGACAGAAATCAGAAGTATAAATTGGCTTCATTTTTGTCTTACTTCTTTCCCTAATCATAAAACAGAAGCTAATCTTGTGTAGCTCTTGTCCTGACCAGAGACATTCTGCTTGTGAAGGATGAGAAATTCAGGCAAGGCAAGTGCTGGCTCTGTGCTGCTGCAGCCAGGGTTAGAGTATGCCATGGACTGGAATATAGCTGTAATTCCAGCCTGAGGGGAGCACGGGCGTGTAACCCCATTGCTCAGGAGTGTCATCCTTCACTGCATGGCTAGAGTCACCTAGCCATGACCCAGACTAAAATTGGATGTTATAGCCCACTTCAGAGTCCAATCTCCCCTCTCTGAGCTGTATGGGACCCAAGGGAATTCAGTACCTATTTATCTCTATATACCCAAATCCAGAACAGCCGAGGGACCTGAGGGGGGAGGTTGCAAAGAGGCAAGGAAATAGGAAATTCCTACTGCTGTCACCACCCAGTGCAACCACAGTGCTTGGTGACAAGCAGCATGCTGCAGAATTCCTAAAACCCATCAATTCAATTGCTCCATTTAATGGGGGAGAAAAGTTTGGCCTGATTTAAAGTAGGATTGCAATAGTACATGGCCCCTCATAGAAGCCAAAACATAGGAAAAATTAGGGAGGACATATGTAAAAGGCTTTCATACTGCCCACATCCTACTGGATCGACAAGGATTGTGTGAGGAAAGAAACCTCACAATAATATAATTGCAAATTAGATAATTTTAAATTTCATTTTTAAATAAGTGAATATTTTGTTTCATTCCCAAGAGCTGCAGAGTAGATCCTATAAATATCTCATTGTATTCCTATGAGAAAAAGGTTAATTCTTCACTGTGTGAAAAAAATCAAACACAGTATCATCTCAAGAAGCCTTCAAGGTCACCTTAACACTCAGGTCACAAAACTAACCTTACATGTTATTTTATTTTAAGCTGTACAAGGCAATGTTCCTGCATTTTCCCTTGTCTTTAAATTTTTTTTTTCCTCCTCTGAAACCAGTAACCAGTACACCTTTAGTCTGAAAGCTCACACCTATTTCTCTTCGTGATTTTCTGTTTGTTTTGGCTTCAGGCAGAAAATGTCTTCAGTTCAGCTGTATGCCACAGCCAAGATCTGGAAAGATAATATTTAATAAGGGCTTGAATAGAAAAAGTATCACAGTAATTTATCCCAAGGAAATAATCTTTTCTCCTTCTAAAACTGCAAATATCAATTTTGTTTAGAATTTCCAAGGCTATCTGACAGAGTCCTTCCTGAATGGATTATAAGTCCTTTTCACATGCAGAATTTCCTCATTAAAAGAGAAAAGGTCACAGAAACTGCATTACCATCATATTAGAACTATTTTGACATTCCAAGTGTATTAGGCTGTCACACACAGGAATGATGTTGAGCGTCTGTTGAAGCCCTGGTTGTCCTTGATGTTATGTTATATTTAGAGCCATTTCAACATTCCAAAATGTTCTGTGCAGAACAGCCTAGGTAATTCTTGCAGAGCCTGTAATAAAAACTGATTATTTGCATATTTTGAATTATGTCAGGCTGGGGGTTCCTTTACCAAAATCTTCTTTTGGCCAGCCAGGGAACAAGATTTTATTTCATACAACAATTTCAAGTCAGGGAAGCTTGTCCTTCCCCCATTTTAGCAATAAATGCATCCTGCCTATCCTTGCTGTGGACTGAGACATCACAGTCCCTAAACTCTAAAAAACCATGTTTACAACTAAGGGGTTCTTTTGTTCCTTTGTTGTTTTGGGGTTTTGTTTTTGGTTTTTTTTGTTGTTGTTGTCTAGGAGTTTTTTGGCTGTTGCTGCTGCTTTTCTCAAATTCAAGGCATCAAACTTGATAAACATAGGATTTAGATTACAATAATTCACTATAGATGAAAAAGAGTACATAAAGTGGAAGTCCTGTAGTCTGACAGCAGCTTTATAGTAGGTTTGAGACTAGAAGGTTTTAGACTAGATTTAAGGACAGAAAAAAGCACACAAGAGAGAATAGGCAGAATAGAACACCAAGGGAAGATTTTGTGAAATTAACATTCCATCAATGTTGTTAAAATTATTTTCTCAACATAGACTATTTAGCAGTTCTCAGTTTGGGTTTGTGTAACTTACAAGAAACCATCATCTATACCAGAGGAAATATCCTAAGAACTGTGAGGCAGGAAAAGAACAGCAGCATCTAGGAAGAAATTGGACCAGAAGACAGCAGCTATTCATGGAGCTCAAGAAGCTTGTTTAGGATTGACCAGCCTTGGCAGCTTTTTTCATTTTACCATGTTAGCACAAGAGGCAGGACTGCACCAAGTATATTTTGTAGAAACACCAAGTTTGGATTCAGAGACAACATGGCAGATGACTGCACAATTAAGCAGTGAAACTTTGAAAGCCTGAGGGAAAATAGAAGGAAAACCTGTCATAAAAGACAAAATCAAGGTCACTATAATAATTTTCACTGTGGCTTAGGACAAAGCAAATTCTGTAGTGGGTCTATAGAAAGGAGCAGACAGTGCATTTGAAATGCAAACAAAAGAAAATCTACTGCTCTGTGAGAGTTCTCCGGCTGAATTCACCTCTACTTTCTACAACCTCTGGACAATTTTGTTATTATAAGTGTCTATTCACCAGAGCAGAATTGCACTGTATTCTTTAAAAGCACTGGGGAGGATGGTAAACTCCAGGGCAGGAAAACACATATTTAGAGAAAGGAATAACACTAATGAAAGAACAAATTCACTTTGGGCAAATTTAGGATGAAAAGTAGAACACTTCTAGGTTGGAGGGCAACAAATTACCCCTTGTAATCGCTTGCTATTTGAACAACCAGTGTATTATGGGAGATAAAAACATCCATGTGGGTTGATTCCTTGCATAGGGCATGAGTTTCAGGAGGTTCCTTTCCATCCTTCATCAACACAGGCTTCAGGTTGTGCTCACTCCTACAGGAAAATATCTCCACTATCACCTTTTCCAGCAGTATTCCTGTTGATAATAGGTAGATAGAATTCAAAAGATAGACTTAAAATTTATATACCTGTACACCCCCACAGATAGACACAGCTCACACTCAGTCTTATTATGTTTGTAGTTTTCTTTGACATTTTTCAATTGGGAGATTGTTGCACTAGTGCCTGTGAAGATCTACTAGAACAGCACTTAAGTATTTGCCAGTCAAATTTCTCCTGTTGCTGGCCTCAGCACCTGCTCAGAGCAGCTGATTTACAAAGCAGGGAGAAAGGCAGGGTCAGCACAGTCACTCTGTAAAATCATTTCAGTCACAAGGCACTTCAGTCAGTACAATCACTGATTCTTCTTTCTCTAATCTGCCTTCCTACAAAATTACTGCTGAGACTTGATACAAGCAGCCCTGATTCCCCCATGTTCCCAGCTCCTTAATATTTTCTTTCTCAGCCAAGCCCATGCAGGAATTAATGACCAAGAAAAGAAAAGCTGATTGTTTTGTTATGTTGGATTTTAGTGCACAGCTATGAGGGATTTTTTTTGTTTCAGTGTGTGTGTGTGTGCTGTTGTTGCAGGAGTGGGTTAGTATTTTTTTAATTTCTAAGTAAGTACAGGAACCATAGGTTGAACCTTAGGATGACTAAAGAGGTATTTGTGTTTAATATGTTGCTTGAGCATGCTAAAGTAGAATTTTGCTAAAAAATAGGGTCTGACCAACTTGAGTTGATTGGACAGACAGCAATAGAATTTCAGATTTTAACTACAGATTCTTCTGTAAACCCACGACAGAAATGTTACATTAAGAGACACCTGCTGTCTTAAGCCCTCCCATGGACAGGACTAGGAAACAAACAAACAAACAGACAGAAAAATCCCTGGGGCAAAATCTTTAGGAATATCAGAGCTAGAAGTTTTCTTCTTCATTTCTAATTGTACTTTTAGGCAATACTGCTGACACATCGTGGTAAAATACACTTATTTGT